GCGCTCTTCAGATTTTGATGAAGGCAAGTCACCTAATAAAGATTATCGCGGCAAAGTAAACCATCATCATCACTTCGTCCAATAAAAAGTCTAGCAGAATATTAAAAAGCAAATTCGAACCCGCTGCTCAACGCTGATCACTCCAAGACGCGTTATAAAGAAAGGCAAGGCCTCACTTTCATTTTGCCTTGAACGCTGTGCACGCAAAAGCGAAGTTTTTGTTAGGAAATGTGCTACAGTACTGTCCACAAATGAACTTATTCACGCACACTGCATGAGCCTACATCACAATCTGATTACGCGCGAGTAAAGAAAACCTGTAGAGTTCATCCCGTTCTTCACCAACAAATAATCCCTGCACTAAACGCGACCGCTTTGACCAGATGATAATTTAGCGATACAGTTCATCTTTTTCGCGTCGGAGGTCAGTCGGTCTCATTATATATGGTATAGACGAGAGTTACTCAAGAAACCACGTCGTGACATAGTGAGTCTCACTGGTCCACGCGCACTTATTAATTCAAGCGACTCATTTTTGAACATAATTAAATTAACTTGTGTCCTAGAATACTCCCGTGCCCCGACGGTCTGTGAGCTAAATATTCCAATCGCACAGGATTTGACATCCGCAAGCTTGATGCAGTGAAAGACACTTATGAGGACCCAAGCAACTTGCCAGCTGGGGGCGTGTTTGAATTGAGTGATCTTGACGCATCTCTACGGGCATTAACGATTCTTAAGTTTCTCACACAAAACCCTGTCCCTTAGAATAAACAGGATTTATGTCTTATGCGTCCGTATAATGGAATTTACAGCGAGCCCCCGTAGTCTTAAATTGTTCCTACTTTTCAACAGCTAAGTGCGCCTCCGTATCTCTCCTCTTCTTTCTAACAATGTTGGAGAGTTTATCCATTAGGATTCTACTAGGTGGGTTGGAGCAATTGAGGTGGACAAGGTTACAGAAGGAGTGCCGGCTTACATCTCCCGCCTGAGAAAGTATATAACTCCCCGGAAAGACACTGTAAAGTTTTGCCGTGTCTTACTCAATTATACTATCTGGAGATATTTGCCTTCTTCCGCGGTCCATCCCCTGATTCGTTGCCGGTTACTGCACTGAAATTATCTATATTTCAGACCATAAAAGTAAACTTTAATCACATGCTGCTTGAAATAGTCAGTAAAGGGATAAAGGAATAAAGCATTTGCCGTTGATCAATTTCCCTTTTGTGGTGATGCACATTCTATTAGGTTGTCTCATAAACAGTGTCGCTTTTTTTCAACCAAAAAATTTTCATCCAAATCCTCATGCTTTTACATCGAAGTCATATACCATTCGAAAGAGAATTGTCTGCTCTACAAAATATCGTGTTCTTCTTCCATCTATGTTCCATGGTTTTCAAATTTTAAGCCTGTGAAATGGTCTGTGTGAATTATAGGAGGTCCCGCCGACAAAAATTGACCAAACCGACAACTAGCTCTAACTTTATGTTCCCTTCGGAGAAATCAATCAATGATGTACCCTCTACTTACTCATGACCTCTTCTGAACATTCCACCCTTAGGTTGCCGAAAAAGGTTTGCCCTGTTTCTTTTCGAATTGGCCGACCGATAAGCCATGGCAATTTTCAAATTGAAATTCTTCCTCTGAAACGCTATTGTTTTATATCAACTGGTGTATCTTTTGTGAGCACTTCTTCTGCTCTATTCGCTCATTTGTTTTGTTTTGATGTTTGTTAGGAATTAGCTCGAATTTTAGGGTTTAGGAGTAAGGTGCTTTGTCCACGAAAGTGACCGCATTTCTTTGAAAAAATTATCCTTGAGAAGATGAGAAAATCAACCAGGCGTACATTCCTAACTTAGTCACGACTTGTTCTTTAAATTCTACTAGTTTTTCAATGTCTCGGCTGTAAAAAAATTTCGACCTCGATCTCAGGTAATGGTGCTCAACCGTCGAGTTCTGGTTGAAAAACCAGGTCTGGAAATGGAATGACGCGACTTGTTGGGAAACCTAATAGTGTAATGTTTAGAAGAGGTCATGCATAAGTAGAGGGTACATCATTGATTGATTTCTCCGAAGGGAACATAAAGTTAGAGCTAGTTGTCGGTTTGGTCAATTTTTGTCGGGACCTCCCATTTCGCATGCCTCAAATTTGAAAACCATTGAACATAGATGGAAGAAGAACACGATATTTTGTAGAGCAGACAATTCTCTTTTGAATGGTATATAACTCTCTGTAAAAGCATGGGGATTTAGATGAAAATTTTTGGTTGAAAAAAAGCGACACTATTTATGAGACAACCTAATACTTCCATTTGTACATTCGTAGTGGCGTTTGAATGCGATGTGGCCTATACAATGACTTGCGGGGGCCAGCCGATGTACAAGTCAGTGTTTTTATCCTCCAGACAAGTCTGGTACCAATTAACCGACCCCGGAGGGATGGAAGGCTTGGTTGGCCCGGGCGACTCACGACCAGGGTCAACCCTACGTTGTTACGAGTAACAACGGGGGGGTCGTACTCAGTTGAGCTTGGAGGGGGGGGTCGTACCCTCTCGGTGGCCGACAGTGGGATTCTTGGTAATATCGGATAATAGCCAGCACGTTACGTTTTCGTAAGATGACTGATACTAGCATCTATAAACCACGATTCCCTCTAAATGAGCTTTCAAATGAATCAGCGAATTAGAAGGGCGCCCGAGGCGTGGCGCGCACCAAGGCAAGGGATGTAGTGCAAGCGCATGCTCGAAGCTTTCTAGCACATCCTAAATTAAACATAAAATTGGTCTTCCAAGAAGTTACGGGCAGTGAAACCTAAGAAAACCGCGTTTTCGAGAAAATGGCTTGAAGAATACCCCTCAAAAAAAAAGTAACAACGGGACTAATTTTTGAACTGCTGATCTTTCAGGAACGCTTGGGTGCTCGTTAGAAAGCTTGAATCCTGTAGTTTATTATACCGTGTTCAGCTTCCCAAATGAATGACTTTGAAGGAAGTTATGATCGTTTGAAGGTCAAAAAGTCGCGGTTCCAAAAAATAGTAACGCAAACCCCCAAAAAAGTAACAACGGGACTAATTTTTGAACTACTGATCTTTCAGGAACGCTTGGGTGCTCGTTAGAAAGCTTGAATCCTGTAGTTTATTATACGTGTTCAGCTTCCCAAATGAATGACTTTGAAGGAAGTTATGATCGTTTGAAGGTCAAAAAGTCGCTTTGCACAGAAAAAAGTAACAACGTACTAAATTTTTATTAAATTAACTTTCGAAGAATTTTTACCATGGTTGGAGAGAGAATAATTTGAATTTTCCAAATCAAATCACTTCGGCGCAGAAGCTCGAATATGAAGGAAGTTATAGCCTTAGAAAGAGGGGTGTAAAAATTGTGTTGCAATTGAAGAACGTGAAGGATTTCAGTATTTCAATTGGAGCGATAATTTTTTCTGACTTCTCATAAGTTTTTATCAGGTAATATTGTCAATATTCCGGTCACTGGTTCAGTTTATTTCATCTCCTAGTTTGGTAACCCTTTGGAGTACACGGATATCTTTGAATGCATCTCATTTTTTCGTGTTTGCAAGCAGCGATGAATATCTGTCGTGGATTTTGCTAAAGTTTCATCTTTGATGACTTACGTAGAAATAAATATTGATGGTAAACACTGTCTCTACACAAGTGTTACATACAAAGGGGGGGGGTCGTATCAAATCACCCATGAAGGGGGGGGTCGTAAAAAATTTCCGAAGAGTAACAACGATAGGGTTGACCCTGCTCACGACCCAGGATTTGATCCCGGACCGCTCGCGTGGTAAGCGCGCCACTTGCCACTACACCACTTCCGCCCTGAAATATCAGTAAATTTACTATAGCGAAATGACTGAAGTAGCGCAGTGAGTATAGAAACAAAGCACATTTTGATAACAACCTCCCCCCCCCCCGTTTTCTTTTCTTCTAGGAACTGATTAAGCATGACAGACCACACATGCTACGTCTAGCTATCCAAGGTAAGCATTCGAATGACTCATTCTGCGTGAAATTTGAGAGTGCGGCGTACTGTAATGGGATAGATGATTGCCCATCTCGTAATCCAGTTGAAAGCGGAGTTTACAAATGGAATGCAGCCCATTAGAACCAACGTAAAGGTGGTCGGTGGTGCCGGGGTGAAGGAAAACCATGAGAAACAGCCTACACCCCAGAAAAGCTCTTCATTGCGCGTTGATTTCCGCATTGATGCGACCCTCACTGTTGCTGCCCTGTTCAACACTAACTCTCCTGCTAAGCGGCTATAATCCTGCGGCGAGTGGTTAGCCATTTGGTCGGTACATCGCGCCGATGGTGCCGCAGGGAGGGTCATGCGAGATCTTCGCTGCGAATTGCATGTCGGTCCGCACCCTTGAGGGGTCCGCCCCTCCTTCGAATAGGTGAGACCCCCCCTTCTCCGACCTCCGACCTAATAGTGAATCCTCCCTCAAGTCTGACTGTTCATTTAATATCCACGTTTAGCTACAAAAGAACATTTCGGGGCAGACAGGCATAATTTATAGTCCAAATCGCTACTTAGGCGTAACAATGTGCAAAGTATTGACTTGCGGTTTCCGAGTACGGCAGACGAGTTGCACTGAAACATTCACCAAGCATGAGCGTGGGAGCCGCGGTAGACGTATGCAGCGGGATAGAACCCACTCGCATGAGTGCAGAGGTGAATGAAAACAGTCTCGCTGAGATCAAAGCAAAATGTTCGGCGTGGCTCGTCACAAATGTGCTGGTTTCCGCCCATTGAATTCGAAATATTTACCCACAGTGAGGACCCCTCTAGTTTTGGCAGGGAAGATGGGGCATGACATCATAGGATGCCGAAAATTTAAGTTTGAGAAAAGTGTGTTACGCGGGTCTGACTCACTGGGCGTGGTGGTGGGGATGTTTGGTACTGCCTACACTCAGAAATTGTGCGTGTTTATATTTTGGCAGGCTAATCGAGTTAATACTTTTACTGCTGAGAACCAATCAGCTACCTCTCTTCAGCTTGCTTCACCGCCTGGTCCAATTTCTCGAAAACTCGGTCTCTTTCCACAGTCTCATAGAAGTCGGTGACTTCGAACAACTTCCTCAGGTCACCTTTAATAAGTAAGGATTTATGAGCAAGGTTATTTCGCAAAGGAGCATAAGAAATAATTTCAGGAAATTAACAAATTCACGACAGCGCTGGTTTTGGCTTCGTGATAACGTAGGACGGGCGCGAACTTGCGAGCGCTGCCGCCTCATTTCAAACCAGGGATTTTGGATAATGAATGAACAAAAACATGAAAGGTACAAAGCAATTTCAGTAGAGTTAGAATAGAAGGATGTATAATTGCAATGAAAATGCAACGATTTCAATTTACCTGCGATGAACATCAACAGCATTTCAGTCTTGGTAATTCTATTAGGTGTTTCAGAAAGTTCTGTCGTTTTCCAACCCCTAATTTTAAATGCACGTATCTCGGCTTAGACTGAACCTTTCGAGTTGATTAAAAAACCATTCGAAAGCGCGAATCTTTTTCTATAAGAAGCCGTTCAACTGGGTACGTTTGTTTGGAATGCTGGACCTCTGGAGGCGATGAACTGAGGGAAGGTCGTTTTAGCATCATGTTGGGTTTTGATGTATTTCTCTTCAAGGAAGCTATCGAGATCGTCAGAAATTTGACAGTAGATAGATCAAAGGTCTACTAAGTAAGATGTTCGCAGAACCACTCTGAAGTTCAGCTGGTACAACTTGTGAAGGGTTGGCCGTGCGATGTGCGTTCAAGACACCTTTCAGGGATGTGTGCGTTCCTTTATAATGAGGAATGCTGGACCCATGTCCTTAGAGTTTTTGATGATTTTTGACTTAATATAAAGATTGATTCTCCACTGTAACAGTTCCATCTGATACTGAAGAACATGGCCAGCCGCTGACCCATGAAAGCTGCCACAACCCTCCTCCAGCACAGTTTAAATTCTGCAAAGTTTGTAGAGCTTCATCGCCGTCGATCTATTCAGCAAACCTTCGTGGACTATAGAGAAGAATCCGCTCTTTATTGTACGTCGCAAATCTGTAGAGAAACGAGTCGCTTTTATCACATAAAACAAGCGACAATTTGATGGACGACCCTTCAAATTGGTGATTTGTCGCGGCACGCCCCTATCAAATTTTTTGGACTTTCCAGCTTCTTCCGTATAGCTTGGCTGTACAAACCATATACGCCCAGGTTGGGCAGAACCTCCTCTATGGTCTTACGCACGAGTGCTTCAATCAGAACTTTTGGCTAATCGGAGACACCGTCCGATATCCGACCACTACTCTCATCATATTCAAGGCTCTCGCCTTCGTTACAATAAATTTTTTAACTACTGCTTCTGAGCACATTTATTGCAAATCTAGGCCCAAAGCATCGTTAATATCTTGAACTGTTCCCGCCACTTTCAGGTCTATTTAAAGCTAGAAAAAGAAAGTCATGCCAACTTGCTCATCGAGTATACCGCATTCAAAGCTTTGAAAAAGCTATAAGAAAATATTTAGGACAAAGTTGAGCTAAGCATTGGATAGAGCTGGAAAAGCTCTTCAAAATGACATCAACATCAATTGCAGCTTTCCTAGATTTCAAGGGAAATAAAGCATCCAAAAGGAATGTCAGAAAACGACAGAACTTTCTGAAACACCTAATAATAACTCATCATGGCATCGATCTCTGCGCATACTTATTCTACTGTCCTTTTTCACTGATTTCATGATAATCGAAAGATTTCACGACTGCAATACACTTCCTCAGATTCCGTTTTCTTGAAATGGGAAGCATTCAAGAAATTGCAATGTACATAGGTGACGAGCGTGTTGTTAGTTAGCCATGCATACGGGCGAGCATGTGCTCTAGCTGCCCAAATGGGCTGCCACCAGTGTAAATGTCTCAACATAAGACTGACGCAATACGTAAACGTCCAACTATGTTTTAGGTTGTTCGAAGTATTCGCGCAGATGTCAACTTTTTTCAAAATTGTTTTACTTCTTTATTTCAGCCAACAATTGGACGAATATGTGCATTACCATGATCGTCGAGAGATTGCCTTTCAGCAGGTGCCTTCCTGTTGCAGGTTTTCCAGGAAAACCTGAGCTTCAGAGCCAAAAAAAACATGAACTAGTCTACTCCGAGTAGGTCCAGATCATCGAACAACCTCTCTTTCAGTTTCCCTTCTCCGACCGCCACCTTCACCATCGTGGCTATATGTATTTCATAGTATTTGATACTGAGATCAGTCGACACAGCCCGCTCCGCTTTCTCAAAATGACCGCCGAGCAGTAGGTGGGGAGGGGAGCGACCCCCCCCCCTTACTTGAAATCAAGAGTGCGACCACCTGTTCGAATAGCTCGAACGGACGGTTGACCATGGCCTAGATGTCCACGACAATTTACGGGTAGTAGCGTCCGGATGCGCTTCCAACTCATGGCGGATTCCCATTGACAGTGACTAAGGGTTACGGATGAGATCGCACATTACAGCTCGCAGAGGCTTTGGTGATCCTATCGCCAATACCGCTGTGCCCGATCGGTAGCAGGGACTGGGTCAAACACAATGCTGATCGGGCCTACTGCGCTCCTTGCAAGATTCTCCTTTAAATGGGCGTAAAGCATAATCGTTCATTTTGGTTGTTGATCAATTTCGACTCCTAGTTAGTTATCCCTTGCGGATTTCAACTTCCAAAACCACCCTGCTAAAGGCTTGATGCATTCTTCACATACCAACATGTTTCGCAATGACACTGATTTAATTTGAAGAAAATTGAATTTGCTCAAAAGTCGGACAGAAATTATGGGACAGCCCAATTGTTCTGTCAGTTTCCGCAGATTGCACCAAGAACTCTTTCCATTCGACTTTGGGATACACTCGTCATTCAGTGTAGAGGCCACAATTTGTTGTTTTTTCTCAAGTATCTGAACTTTGACAACCGAATAATCGCCATGTTGTGAAAGACAGTCTGGACTGGATGTCCATTTCAATACGTAGGCTTCTTGCCGCGACGCTTCCATCGACACACTCTGGGTCTACCAAAGCAGCTGCAGTCGGATACACTTTCAGAGAAAGACGATTTTTTCAGCCATAATCGCAGTAGAATGCTATGGCAGGACTGCTCGAAGAGGGCATGAACCATCGCTCACATGCATTTTACAGTGAATGTTCCAACGATCACCAAAGATTCTGCTAGATGAAGGATGACTTTTTCGACAACGTAATACAGTGTATTTCTAAACAACCAGACTCGATGAGCCATGAAAAACTGATAGTTTGCCTCGAAAATAGAAACAGCATTTAAGATTTCCAACATATTTCCTTTAACGACTTCTATGCCTATGTAGAAAAGTGCCCTTTTATCTTCCGAGAAATGCTGCCAAAAGCTGGGCAAGCCAAGGAAAATCGCTTTCAATGATTAATAGTTACCTTTCTGTACTACCAGGAATGTTTGAACATTGGCGGTGATGAGATCGGCAACAACCTGTAATGAAAATGTCCAAAGTTTTGAAGACAAGCTAACTATAAAATATGATGGTATTCTGAGAAAGTTTTTTTTCCTATAGTGCAAGCAAGCTGTGAGGTCTCTTCGTAGGCTTGTTTTCCCTACCGTTTTCAGCGTTGTGAGACCGAGATAGTCCACATAAGGGAATCCGCTGCAGTCAATAACAAGTCGACAGCGGTCCTCATTGGCTATGCTTTTATACGCTGCACGAGATTTCTGAAAATCACAAATTACAGTCCAGATCAGTCAGCTAACTTCGATAGACACTTAACACTCTTAGCTTAATCTCGAATATATTTCCCGTACATTCTTACCCTATGCAGCAGTTATGGATCCCGAAAAATTGTGAGGAGGAGAAGTTAGGTAGTACTGCTGAAGTTACGGTAAACTACTTCCCAGGTCCGCAATTGTTGACGGAAAACCCTTCCATTCTTTATCAACATGGATATTTCAAATGAAATCACTAGATACAACGAACAGTTTCACGCAAAAAATTCAGTTCCCGAAGAAAAGCAAACTTACGAAAACTATAGTCTAATGTAGATCGCGCGGATACAAGAAACGCATGGTGATTTATGGGTGAAATAGGATCGTGATTTTTCCGTGTACGATTATCTTTCCGTGGATACAGATAGAACACCTCCTAAAACCCCCAAACACCACTTTCACCAACATACCTTTTTCGGAGACCAGCGGTGTAGGGGAGGGGAAGGACGTGGGATGTAGGAGGTAATTGCTGTTGTAAATGTAAAGTACGCTGGTAGCCAGGGTAGGTTTTGCAAAGGCTTCTGTCAATGGCGCTGAAAGACCATGTTTTATTGCCGGATTTCTCTCAACCAGAGGGATTTCAGCTGTTGGTATTCTTGGTCTTACATTCTGTTATGACTCCCCACTGACCCCCCAAGACGTTTAGTGAACAAATAGCAGCCACATACTTCATGCACATCTCTGGACGCTAAGAAGCAGCAAATATGAGGAATAGAATAAAGGTTTGTGGTGTCTCGGATAGAGTAAACTTGAGCACGCCTCTCGCATACGCAAAAATTGGGCCGTGCGAGATCTTCAAGAAAAGTCACTGGAAGGTTCTTGCCCACAGTTTCTTTTTCTTTTCTTAATGGTTGTCGTTCTTTTTCCGTCGGGTGGCCTCGGTGAAGACGAGGCTTTTCAGGTAGAAGAAGCTCAGAGCAGAAAACCGTGGTGACGGCTGACAAAGACAGTGGATCCTGCTGCTGCGGGGGATTAGGATTAGGGAAAAGACGAAGACACCACGTTCAGCTTATTCGTTGAGGTGAGTCTAACTGTTCTGTGGTACGATGCAGTTCTGGGAACGTTTGATATATAGGACTCTTTTCAAGTGAGTGAATTTAGAGCGATGTATGGGCGTAATTCCCACGTGCCTTATAAGCTTCAAGGCTGCGACGAAGGCAACAATGCTGAAACGTTGGCCGAATAAAGCTTATTTACATTTTGGTTGTGGCTTTACAAAAATATTGTCAGCAATCTTATAGCGAAATAGTGAAGACCCGCATTATTTGCAGCAGTTTTCCATAGTGAATACCGCACTCCAGGGCGAAAGTATTTTGACGTTCCCACGCGAGAATTCTTTTGAGACCTGACTTATGAAAATGGAACCGTTATCTTTGAGCATATCTGCTAGAATTAAAGCAACAATTTCAGATTGAATACGCGAGGTGAAAACGATCGATAATGAAGTTGTACATGGCGAGTGAATGCCAATGGAAAAAAAAAAAACAAGGAAAACCGCCGATGGAGCCTTTAAACAGGACTCCCCCTGTTCCCCTTCGTAATGAGGGGAGGGGCGTTCGGACGAGCTATGATCTAGCTTGTTCCGCCGGCCTTTCTTGCTGGCTTGTGACTGCAATCGTATACGCACCAACAAACAGAGACATATGCATCAGTATAAACAAAGAAATAGAATAATTAAATGAGGTAAGCAAGAAAAACTAGAAGCGCGTGGCAGGTGGGCGTTACGGAAGATTGTCCGTAACGCCCGTTCAACTTCCTTTCTAGTGTTTTTTCGTGAGTTTTTTGTTTTGTAACACTTATGTGCTCTTTTTAAACCATTAGTATCGCAGGTAAGGACCCATTGGGAGTGTTGCTTGAAGCATTGTCCGTACAACAGCTGCGTGTACTTAACAGTTGTTTTTTTTTCGGCTGTCATGCACTTCAAATAGCTTAGAACATTTAGGAGTAACAATATTGAAACCTTCTCAAAAATGTCGTCTGTGTTGGCGGAGTTCATCTGATCGATTGTGATGAAGGATTCCGCCTTCGAACGCTCGAAAGTCTTCACACATTGCCACACAGCCTGAACGAAACGTGACAATCGTGCGAAACGCACTAATACAGGGTGTCCCATAAATATTGCACCACTTTCTTTGCTTGTAACTTCTTTCAAAATGGATGTATTTTCAAGAGGTTTTGTAAAAATTTAGCAATACATTTACATATTGAAAGGAATGACATTCATTGGATATGCTCCCCTGTTGTTGTGAGTATGGCTCCCAGTTGCTTCAAACGCAACCCTACTGTGGCCCGCATGGCATCCTGGGGTGCCTTCTTCGAAACTTTGCTGAGAAAAGGCTCCGGCTCATCCATGTGGATGCAATGTTTAGTGCAGGCTCTGCCCTATAACATAGCCCACATAGGATGGTCCAGCACGTTGAAATCAACGGATAGGAGAGCCATTCGTTTGAGGATGTGAAATTGGAAAGAGTGCCTTAACAGCGCTCCTGAACAATTTTTGCCTCCTATGCAGAAGCTGGGCCCTATTGAAAAAACATCATCACCCTTCCCTTAACCCATTCGCGACAATGTCAGCCACCGGTGGCTGACGCGAAGATGTCCACTTCGGACCATGTCAGCCACCGGTGGCTGACATTGCGCAATCGCCTCTGCCGGCGCTGGTCCGAACGGGCAGTCTTCTCGCGAGTGGGTTAAAGTGGCTAGATACCTCAGTAACAGATGGTGCACCGAAATGTCCCTTGGCTCGATCTAGTATCAAGTTGTATTCCTTTATAAACAGGCAGTGATGGTGAGCGACCGGTAGTTGATATCCCTGTCCAGACCATGGAAAGGTTCGGCTGCTGCTTGTGGCGAATTCCTCTCACTCTGACTGACTTCCTCAAGACCTCATGCGGGCATCCTCGGAGTTTGAAGATTGTAGCTCCGCTCCATGTGAGGAATTTTGTCGTCGATGAAAACGGTGCCCGCATAATCCCATTTTCGGCCCTCGACACCAGCTCTTTGAACTTTTTGTCTCTGCTGTGCTCCTCCCGTTGGATTGAGCAGTGGTGCTTATGCAACTTATAATGGACTGTGAGCAGTTGTTATCCGACCACTCACATGGCTGTGTTTAGAAACTCCAGCGTTCTGGTCACCTTTCTCGAGCCAACCCGGGTATTGCAGTCGTTTCGCTTCTTCATGCTTTTCCTGAGATCCAAGATGTCAGAACTTGTGGGGCGGCCACACAAAAGACTTTTCAATTGGCTTCTCTTTAGTGCACGGTAGGCCACGGAGCGGTTGAAAATTCAAAGAACCGCGATGCTCATCACCGGATGTCCGACCTAGCTGTGTGAGAGGTTAGGCACTCTGTTGAAGTTTAGGCGCACCATGAGATGCAGACCGAACGCTAAGCCGTGGAATTTGGCATGGTCATTGAGAAGAGGATAGAGGATTGAAAGGTCTACCAATCTCGAAGAAAGCGTATAAGTGATGTGATGCGCCTCTCATCGGTGCTGCCCTCTTCAATGCTGACACTCTCTTTGCAAAACAGCTAGAGTCAGACGGCGATAATGTGGGTAGGCAGTGGCGCGTGTATGACCCTGCCAGCCGCTGGGTACACACTCCTCGCTTCGATAGGCAGGAGAGCTGCTCTAGGGGACCCGCGCAACAGGTATTTTTCCCGTTCTTCGACCTCCCACTTTATTGTGGAACATTCCTCAGTGTTTAGCCGAGGGCATGCGCTGAGCATATAGGAGGGTATATCTGATATCTCTCCTGTATTCCCATATAGAAGCAAGTGCAATTGGCACCAATGAGGGTGGTGAAGCAAAATAAGCCAATTAAGACAATAACAGCTGCTTCTTCAGTACTGCAAAATTGAAAATATTCGTTCATAAATGAGGTGATTGATATAATATATAAAAGAGTTTCTGCAAACCGTTGTAAATCGATCAACACTCGTAAATATTAGCGGTGCATCCATGCGAAATACACAAACATTTCCTCCCACAAACTCCAAATGCTTCTTCTTCGTTTCCTTGAAACTATCCGAATCAGAATCGCGAGAGAGAAAGTGCCATTTCGGTCTGAAACTGCCTGCTATAAAAATGATACAATTGTGGAAGAATTCGCTAATGATCTCTGCTGAAATCACGACAGGATCTTAAAAAAATGTAGAACACGAAGCTCCTCCCAGGAAATGATGAAGGCTAGCTGGACAATATCGAGAGAATCCTCCCGAAAAATCTCTCAGAAATCACTGATTTGAAACCCAACGTTTACGATAAGAACGAAAGGAACATAAAATTGCTTCTAGTGTCGATAATTAATTCAAAAATCGGAGGACCGCTACGTGTTCAAACTATCGCCCGACATCTGTCACAAATGCCAGCGGCGGTAACGCTTCTACTTAATTCATACTTACTTAATTCATGGAGTGCCGTCACTAGAAACTCTTTCTGACCTTTTGACTTATTGCACTAACATCTCACACTTCTACTGCATCCTATTCTATCGATTGTTTTGTCTCTATTCTCCAAAATCGAACGCTTTCATCAGATTCTTTCATGCATCGCCTAATACGTGACCACCCCGAGGCGCATTTTTTCACGCGCTCCCTTGTTTGTGCGCTCCAAACTACCCTCGCCCGTCTATGGAGCAGGGTCAACCGTCCGTTCGAACTGTTCGAACGAAGGGGTCGCATTTTGGTCGGAAGGGGGTCGCAATTTCGAGGACTGCCAGCCACAGGCGCGTGCGTGGCGTATCCGAGGGCAAGAATTGTTTGTGCAGACCGCATTAGATTCGATTTATTATGCACAGAGAGACAGTTTTAGGCAAATTACGGTGTTTTCCTTGAGGAATAAAGAACAGTTGAATGCATCCCTATGAAAGGTTTGACTTCTCGGGGCTGAAATTAAAGTTCTTCGGGACCTAATTTTCTGAGGACGATTCTTCCAGACAACGGTAAAACACATAAGAAAGCAGAAATCTCGTAGTCTTCAAAAATGTCTTCGCCCCTCCCCAACAAGTTCTTTGAAGGAAGTTATTATTGCTGAAAGCTCAAAAACTCGCATGTGCTGCTCAAAAACCTATGGGAACAAAATGTTCGAACGTGTGATTTTCTCGGAAAATGGATTTTGAAAAACGGTTTGGTGCTTGTTAGAAAGAGCAAATCCTACTTTCACCCCATGAAAAAAGTGCATCACAGAAATGAAAATGAAGTGAGTTATGCCCGCTTAAAGCCCAAAAACTCGCGATTTCAAAAAGTGTTCGGCAAAACCCCCCAAAATGTTCGAACGTGTGATTTTCTCGAAAAATGAACTTTGAAAAACGGTTTAGGGCTTGTTAGAAAGAGCAAATCCTGTACTTTCACCCCATGAAAAAAGTGCATCACAGAAATGAAAATGAAGTGAGTTATGGTCGCTGAAAGCCCAAAAAAACTCGCTGCATTTTCGTCTGCGGCGGCACAGACGCTTTCTGGCGCAACGGATTCATGTCTAGCACTCTTATTAACAAAAACAGGGGGTCGCAAAAATCCCGAAAATGTTCGAACGTGACGGTTGACCCTGCTATGGAGTACGGTTTCCGTGAGCTAGTTTTCCTTTGAAAACTGAATTTCCGTGCGTGAAACTTTGTACATGTTTCTAGTGATATCAACTGACATATTCACGTTGGGAAAAATGCAAGAAGTTCCCGAGGAGGATTTTTTCAATGCATTCCAGTGGTTCGATCAACCATTCGACAAACCTCTGCATTCGGATTATCGTTGTTAACACAGCGAAGCCCGTGGCAAGCAGTAGGCCTTCTCCCATGTCGAAGCAAACTGTCAGTACCATACTCATTAACCATATAGTCTGAATATAAAGCCATCAAATACACAGCCAACTTCAGCAATAGTGGTTCATAGCTATTGTCCAACATAGACATTGGACTACACGTGAACATTTTGCGTGTGAGCCTTTCTGCTACTGAGTGATTCAATCCATTCAGAACATTACCAGCCACTGGTAACTGATATGAAGCCTTCCAGTACACAGGGGGGGGGGGGGGGGGGCAAAAAAAGTCACTTTTGGCGCATATCATCAAACTTTTTGTCGCAAAGGATGCCGCTGTTATTGGGAGTTATACGGCGAAATATTCCTTAGATGTCCCCCCATAAGCAGAATCAGGCCCACCTTCGCTGCCTTCACCGTCTCCAGAATATGACGTCATCTGTCATCACCGTCGAGCTCAAGGAGGCCTACCATAATCGCTCCATTCTGAAGCTGCTACATAATTTCTTCAATCGGATAACTGGTGAATAGCTTCTTAGGGACACTAGCTCTGACTATGCAAGATGGCTTTTGACCAGCGTTTCAGAGACGTCGTAATCGTCTATGGTTCTCGACGACCTCGTTGAGCTCGTACCGTGAACCATGTTTCCGTGGGAAAATCTTCTGATGTCGTCGGTGTAGAAGGCCCCTATGTAATTTTTTTGATAGATTAGAATGTGCTCTTCAATATGCAGTTGAGCGTTAGGTTTTGGCAAAGGCAAATCCTCGGTGTTGTCGACCATTCCTCGACTGATTTTCACCCTACTGCCCGTTGCCGTTCCGTCGCCTGGAAGTGTTTCAGACGAGAAGAAGGCAAAGGCCAGAAGCTTTGGGCAATAATAGCCAAGAGTTGAACAACACGGTGTTGGTTAACCAAACTTCGAAGATGAAAATCACCGTTATTCCTGCAAAAAAAGACGAATTGCGTCTGGGAGCGTATCAGATGCGCAGGAACCAGTGGCTGTCATAATAGTCCTACCAGTTCACAGTTAGAAAAATGAAAGAACTGGGATGAAATACGCAATTCGCGCTTACTGTTGTGTGCCGGGTCAGCCCGTAGCGAAATATCTGTATGGGACTCGACGCGCAGCCTTGAAAGGATACTGCGCTTAAAGCTAATAAACTGGTAGCAACTTCAGCTGATAACTCACAAAAATCGACTCTTGAGAACACAGGCCAAAGTTCTGCGGGAGTTCCGCCAGAATTTTGCAACATTGACTCTTTGTATGAAACTAATGAATCATCAGTAGACAGAATGCATGTGGGAGATCATCTCAATCGGCAGGTCGCGATATATAAGTGACCAGCAACCAAGCCAGCATGATTGAGCAAAATAGCCAAGCTCAACTGAAAAATTTTCTTTGTCCATAGATATCTGCTATTGTGGCATGGATGTGTAAGGCGCGCAATGAGAGTAACCGGAAAGTCAATTGAATATGAGAAGACTGAGCCATCAAATGCTTTGGAAAGGAAATGACCCTAAAGAATACGTGAGTTGACAAGTGTTTGATTGCTCTTGGTACTTGCCAGAGATTTGGAAAAAAACGACTCCAAGCTCTAGGATCAAACTGATGTGGATGCACACGAAAACGAGAGCATAGGTGTGAATCAGACCGACCGGTAAAAAAGAATGAAAAGAGGCTCCATGTCCGTCTTTCTTGAAACCTCGGCATTTTCAGATGTCTGTTATTTCTTCTGTGCCTGACAGGTTTTGTATGGTGGAAGATTTATTGCCTGACGTTTCGACGAAATCGTCGTTTTCAAAGGCCTGAAAGCGTTCCGAAACTTTTACGAACTTAACCTATCCGCTCAACACAAATATGCGCTAAGCTTCACAACACTCAGACCAGCGAACCATAGTATGCTAACTCCAAAAACGGTTTCTCACCTTAATTCCACCAATGTTCCGCTCAACGGCCTCCCTCAGCGCTTTGCAGAGTGAACAGAAAGTGAAACTAACTGACCGCACACTGCTTATAAAGGAGGAACGTGCAGTGCGCTCCGTATTCACTATCATAGCTCACATAGAGGGATGTAGGGCAAGAAATCGGCAGTTATTGAGATGCACTCATTCCTGTTATTCATACTTGGATTTCGTTGTTTTATCCAAAAGGCCTCAAGGGTTTTTCCTCTATGTGAGCTATGATAGTGAATACGGAGCGCACTGCACGTTCCTCCTTTATAAGCAGTGTGCGGTCAGTTAGTTTCACTTTCTGTTCACTCTGCAAAGCGCTGAGGGAGGCCGTTGAGCGGAACATTGGTGGAATTAAGGTGAGAAACCGTTTTTGGAGTTAGCATACTATGGTTCGCTGGTCTGAGTGTTGTAAGCTTAGCGCATATTTGTGTTGAGCGGATAGGTTAAGTTTCGGAAAAGATTATTTTTTTTTTTTATTTTGTTTTTTTTTTTTATTTGTTTTTTTTCTTCGGAACGCTTTCAGGCCTTTGAAAACGACGATTTCGTCGAAACGTCAGGCAATAAATCTTCCACCATACAAAACCTGTCAGGCACAGAAGAAATAACAGAATGAAAAGAATTTGTCGAAAACAATGAAGTTGAGAGATTGCCAATTTTTGTGCCAATGCAATGAGAGACTGAGCACCTAAGTGAGGGAGGAAAAAGCAGCTTAGCCTCCGTTCAAACAGCTGGTGCACCACTCATATCGCCACCGATTCGTATTCTGACGCCGGCCTAATTGTTCTCTTTTTCGACAATTCCCACGGAGCATGCGCTTTTTTCCTCGAGGCTAATCAACTATGGATGACTCGTTCGGACTGCAACCGTACTGCTGAACGCTTGCCCTGTTATTATTCAGTTCTACGACCAGGGTCGACCGTCACGTCGTTCCGATTTCAGAAATTTCCACAATCCTTCCTTATCCCACCGAGAAGAGATCGACAGCACAACCAGTAATCTTCCAACTAGTGTCATTCTCTCATACTTCCATGCGCTCGGAGTTTAAGGTAGTTACATAATCTTCGGAGCTACTATCAGAAAACTGATTGTGCCGAAAAATGCGCATTTCTTGCTTTGAAAGGTAGTGGCTTTCGTATAATGAAATTTTGAGAAGGGGTAAGAAAATATGGAAACTTAAAAGCGAGTTTTAGGCTTTGCATACTTCAGGTTCAACTTTTTGAATTTTTTTACCACCTGTAGAAAACTAGAATGTTAGAGCTTTCTAATGAATATCTGAACTCTTTTCCAAAAGAATTAACATATGTAGTTCACATGTTATTTAGCATGTAATAAATTGAAATTGAAAAAAAATTGAATCGAAGTCAAAGATTGCCCCACTGGGTCGTTTTGGGGCACTTGCGATTCGATTTTTGGCACCGCACAGGTTTTTTGGCTTTAAACTACACTACTAACTAGCATAACTTTCATCAGATTCAATTTTTTGCAATTCTCCACTCCCTGTCGAAAAACAAGAAGGTTGGAGCTTTCTATACTTGGAACTCATTACAAAATGGATAGGGTAAGAAAATCGCTCCGTTACTCTAGTTTTTTCTCCTTGAATTTTTGGGTATTTTTCCAAACACGCGAGTTCAAATGGTTACAACTCCATTCAAATTGATTCTGTGGAATACGGTGAGCAAGTAAGAAAGCTATGTTTTTTTCCTGCTCAATAGCAGATTACAAATTTTTTCCGAAATGTAACCACTTTAAGTTCTCCTTTTTTGCGAAATTCTCTTGTATTTGTATTTGTATTTGTTTATTACACAGATTGCCTGTGTGTGAGATAAACAAAAATTTTGGAACGCTTCACGAATTTGCGTGTCATCCTTGCGCAGGGGCCATGCTAATCTTCTCTGTATTGTTCCAATTTTAGTATATGTTCAGGAATGAACCTGTGAATCTCGAAAAGTCAATTCGCCAAAGTGGTTGCTCCTATCCTTACATAGTCATGATCCAAAAACACAGGGTTTGTAGAGCAATATTTATACCTGTGGGCAATGAGATATGGACTGATTTACCGGAACTACTGCTCTGAGATGCGCTATGTTCACGTTTGTGGGGAAGAGTTGAAGAAGCACTCGTGACCTGCTCTGCTCCTCTACTATCACGACAGCAAGCGTTTTGATTCTGATCGTTTAGTGCTGTGAACCCAAGCTTAAAGCTGCCGGCATTGATCGCATCTGCCTATCATTTCTTCATTTTGCGGTCCAACGTTTTCCACACATTTAGGCCCTTGTAGCGTCATCCATCCATTACGATTACATTCATAAAGATCTCGATGCATTGCAAAGTTGATCTCTACGCATACAATAACCCGGCCGATACGATCCCCCACAACGGACGGTTGACCCTGGCCACGACTTCTTGAAGGCACGCTCCGGGATTAGGCGCGCTCGCCTGTTCCATCCGGGGGTAGTAGGACAGGCGGACAAGCGTTGATGTCGCGCCCCTTTTGCCGCTTGAAAGTGCGCGACAAAGGCGCAAGGAGCTCGTCCGACCCGCAACTCACACCTTCGTCCAAGCCCCACCCTCCGCTGTCGGTTGCCACGTGGCGCTGCTTGAAAAGCGCGGGCGCATTTGAGGCAGCGGTCCCATTGCGACCCAATGTCATTGGCACTGGAGCAACTAGAGTTAGGTTCGTGAAACTCGTCCAACGCGCCCCTTCTCTATCCCAAGGTGGAATGCGGCTGAAATAGGGGAGGTCTCTGTGCGGGGCGTAATCGGTGGTTTCGTTTGCTTTCCTTCTCTTTTCCAGACCACCTCCCACCTCTAGCTTCATAACTGAACGCTTTTCCACACCTATTTTATCCCGAATCTTGCCTTTAATGACTGTAACACGACAAGATGAGATAATTTGACTTTGGACTTATACGTCAATAGTAAAGGATGGCAATATGGCTGACAGGGACATAAAAAGAAATACCTGAGTACTGCTTCCAACAGCAGCTCCAACTACACTTCGAGCAAAACCAGAGGTAACTGGGAATACTGGGAAAAATGAAGACAAAACACCGACGAAGCCGAGAGCATACAATTCCTGAACGAGGTTCCTTTACGAGACGTCATCGAGAGCGATCGCGGCTGGATGTAAATGTGAATAACCTGTCCATGGTTGATCTTGTATTTGTAGCGTTTCTCGACGATTTTCGCAACAGTTAAGTGAATCGCGACTGCTGTCAAAGCAATGGCGACGGCGTTAACACCAATGTATTGAATAAGGTCGAAACGAGGCAGAGAGGGTGGCGGAAATCTAAATAGCGCCTAACTGTTCCTGGACATAAACAATTAAAATTAACGGTATGAATCGTTCAGGACGCCACGCTTATTCAAAACGGTTTAGCAGCCAGGGTCAACACCGTCGGGACTTTAACACGTTGACGACATCGCGTGTTTTGGCATTTTGCACCGCGTGGGACAGGAGCGATTTTGCGAGCGCGCCGTCCTCACCTTACTTCCGCTTATTTTTTGTTAAAATGCACAACAACTTGAATCTCATAGAATTATTTCGGCAAGGATGAAAGCATAAAGGTTAACTATATAAATAGCAGTAGATTTTTGTTTAGAAGAACGCATAATGACCACGAAGAAGCAAAAAACATCACTTTCGCTGCGAATGAAGTTAAAAGCATTTATACCTAAGTTCTTCCATCAAATACAAATATCTTGAAACTCACAGAGTTTTGTATTAACTGCTTCTACAATCTTTCAATATGAATGTTCACGACAGTGAAAGGAATACTAGAAAAAAATTGAAGTGAAAGATTTGGGCGTTCAGAAAATCTTTGCTAAATCAAGAGATATTTGACCACTCTGGCTGCCATGTGGTTTATAGTTATACTAATGTATTATCTATAGAATGAATGCAAAAAACTCGAGAAGAAGGAGCGCAAGCACAATAAAAATGAATTACATAGTTCTGACGCGCATGCGCGTCAGAACTGTCCGATGCGGTGCGAAAGTTCTTGACGCGCATGCGCGGTCAGCCTGTCGTCAACGTGTTAACGATGCCCTGCGAAACTGCAAAAATGAGTCCAGTGCCAGTGT